AAAAACATATAGCTATCCTCCTGATTATGGGAAGTAGACAAGATTTCCGGGCAAAAAATGGGATCTTGGGGGTAGGGTGGGAGGGGGGTAAGGGGACATGGGGAGATAAAAGTGAGAAGGGGAGGTTGGGGGGAACTTGGGAAACGGGATGATTGGGATAAAGGAAGGTTGGATAGGGGAGCAGGGAAGCACACATCTTAATTAAGGGAGCCATCTTAGGGTTGGCAAGAGACTTAATGCTAGAGGGGCTCCCAGGTGCCCAGGGCGATGTCCTCAGTTAGTTCCTGGGGCAGCTAAGGACAGAGAACCTGAAATGACCCTATCCTATAGCCATACTGACGAATATCTTGCATATCACCATAGAACCTCTTAGATATTCTTAATTTAATAACACAATGATTAAAATTTTATTTAAAAGACCACAATATTCAGTTACTGTTTAAAGTAAATGTTTATTTACAGAGCTTGGAAAAAACACTAAAATATTTTCTCTCATTCTCTGAAGAAAATATGGCCCAGAAATTTTAATTTTCTAGTTAAGACATGACCTATAAACTGTAAAAATATAGTCCCTTCTGTTTTTGTTTGCTTTGTATTTATATTTTGAAAGAGAGACTGCAAAAAATGCTCACACTGAAATATAATCCTAAATATGTAATATGTTTATATAAAAATCTCTAGCTAGTATAGGAGAGAAATGGAATAAGATAGTTGTTGTCTTCTCTATGAATGCAAATTTACATTTAATTTACATGAGGCTCACTCGCGTGTGCATGCACACACTTGTGTGTGGATACACACACACGTATGGAGAATTTAAGGTGTGAATAAATGAGATCAAAGAGAGAAGCTACTGAGGAAAAGACTTTTCTAATTAGTACTTATGGTGTTCAGCACAAACATGTTGATACCTCTGGCTACTGTTCAGCCAAAGGTTCACTAGGTCTGATTCATGCTTGTTATGTTATTCAAAAGGAACTGCAAACAATGTCTTTAAAGAGCAGGGATTCCATTCATGTGTGTGCGTGTGCTCCCCTTTTTTCTCTATTGCTGTCTTCATGAGTGGCCTATTTTTTTTCCCATAGACTTAAGATGTGGTGAAAATATCTTCATGGCATCTTACCCAGCATCATGGTCTCAGGCCATCCAAATCTGGTATGATGAATCCAAAGATTTTATGTTTGGTTCAGGGCCAACAACAACGGGTGCAGTAGTTAGACATTATACTCAGGTAAGAAAAGGGACTTTCTATTAGTGCTGGGCAAGGGAAAAAATTTAATGACTTGGCTGATTTCAAGGCATAATTTCGGTGTAGAGAATTTTTATTTTCTTTTTGAGAGAGGGTCTCACTATGTAGCTCTGTCTGACTTTGAACTTTCTATCTTCCTATCAGTCTCCCAGTTTCAGGGTGTATAGGGAGAGCGCACACCAGCCACATATCCTTGGGGAAGATCTTGTGTGGTTGGTTATACATTGACCTTGACAGTCATTGGCTATTGGAGCTGCCATCTTTCAATGGCTTATCTAACCTTTGTAAGGGAATATACTTGGTTTTTTTAACCTCATTTCTTGACTCCAGCCCCCCCCCCAAAGGTAATGCCCTGTGTTCTAAGGCGCTTATACAGACTTTGGC